AAACTCGTGGACTTGTGTCGTGTGGGGTGTGGCAGCAATAAATGGAGCCAGTGGTATCCAAGTGGGGTTTCATTTGGGTTGATGGTCTGATTCGGAGTATTGAATCACGAAAGTTGTGTCCATTTCATGGCACTGAATGTGGTTTGAGCAATTCCTTGCGTTAAAAATTAATTAATATTCATGGTCCCCCCCACCACACCCACAATAAAAGACTGTGCCTCTTTAAATCCCCACCAAGTCATCCTTCAACTCTCCACTTTCATTGTCCGCTTGACTATTAAATGTTATCGTACTTATTGTGTTAATATTACAACAACCAGTCATTTTCCCCACTCGGTTTCAGCAATTGGTGATTTACAACAATATGCTTATTGTGGGGCGTTTTCATTTTTTGTCCCTCTGTTTATCCTGTCAAAGACGGAACGCTCTTATGCTTTAATTCATGTTTGTGTGTCCATTTTTAATTTGGAGTCCTACACGTCTCTCTCTCGACGCACTTTGGGCAACTATTAAGGCGAGAGCCAAACAAAAACCGCTGTTTACGTACAAGGATTAAGCTATAAAGGGTTCAAAGTTCTTATTCTTTCTAAACAACGACTAACAGCGATAAAAAATCTGATACTCCTTCGATCCTAAATATAAAATTCTTATACACATTATATAAGAGTCTTATATTTAAAACCAGAAGAGTACTTTTAGAAACAGCATAAAGCAATTTGTTTAGCACTTGACCATGACACGTGGATGGCTTTTCCCCACAAGTAATTTCTTTGGGGTCACTACAAAATCTTTTGGTGTTCTTCCTAACTTGATTCCCTGAGGAAGCTTGAGGAATCAGTGCGGTATTAATAGCTAATACTCGGATCACCAAAACTCACTTTTAGCTGGAGAAAGGCACACGTATATGTGGTGGTTCAACTCACTGGATTGTTCCATATTCATCTTCGAAAGAAAAAGAAGGAATCTATAGGTACGCCACATGTCCTGCAGAATTTAATGCATGGCGAGTAAATTTTTTTTTTTATAAGTTTTTCTTCCTAGTATTCGTCCCTTACTGTCCTCCATCCAAACACGGCCTAGCTCATCATCGAGGAGAGACGTGTGAGTGCGTGTGAATGCGATGCAGTGCATATATATATATATATATATATATGTACGTATGTATATATGAATCACAGCATCTTGCAAGTCTGCTCCCAATGGACGTGAGGGAAGGGAAGTAGGAGCGTGACCTTGTCGGGCCGGGGGAGGACATTGAGCTCCATTGAGTCAGTGGCCTTCAAATTCAATGAATCATCCACTTATCATTTCAAGTTTTCAAGAATTATTCCAGGCTCTTTTCTTTTCATTCATTAAAGTAAATTATTTTCTTTTATTTTTAGTACGTTTTGTTTGGTTTTGATGTTGTCATATTGGCCTAGTTGGGTACCTCTTCCAATATAATTCCCCTTCAGAACTCTTGATTGAACAGGCTTAAAAAGAGACTGGGTACTTCCTACTCTGCCTAACAACATTAATCAGTACGTATTTTTTTATTTAAAAAACTATATGATTTTTTTTATTAATTCATACATTTATTTTATCATAATTAAATAGTGAAAAAAGAATAGCATATATTGTATTAAATAATTTTTTTTAATTTAATATGCTCTTGAGGAAAAGTCAAAATCAGTTGATTGAAACAGGCTGAGAATTATGGAGAATAGTATGATTGATTATTTATGCAAAACACATGCCGGGAAAAAATTCTTGTGGTGAAAGTCAGGGCTAGATTAGTTGAAACAACTAGAACTATTAAGTGTGAGAATGATATTTAAGTTTTAAAATAATGACAAATCAAAGAGAGGTCTTCAAAAAGAAATCTTCGGAAAATAAATAAGAAATATCCATTCAAAGAGTTGTGAAAACATTTCAGTTTAAAACTGAAGATCACGGTCAAATAAACTTGGACTTTAGAGAGACACAGGCTTCTTTGGTTTGTTGTTTTGAAAGCATTTTTTTTATTTTTAAAAACAGAAAACAAAAAAATTTGTTTAGTAATTTGTTTTTAGTTGATTGTTTTAAAAAACAAAAAACAATAACATGTTTTTAAAAACTTAAAAATCAAAACAAGTTTTACATGTTTTCTTGTTTTTGTTTTGTGTTTTTTTATTTTTTGTTTTGAAAAATTTTGAGAAATATTCTTCTCTTCTCATTTATTATCTACTACTTATCATTACTAGCGACAACTCTCACTTACCAAATGTGGTTTTTTATGGTTTTTTTTCTTTCAAACATGGTTTTTTTAAAATTATTATCCAAACAATTTTTTTTATTTTTTTGTTTTCAAAAATAGTTTTAAGAAACACTTTTATAAAATTGTTTTGAGAACAAGAAAACAAAAAACAAAAACAAACAGGCCTATAATGATCACGGGAACAATTAACTTAAATGAGGTGTTTGCCTAGCACTTTTAAAAAGTATCCCTTCGGTCTTAAATATAAAACTATTTTATAGTGTAAATTATACTACAAAATAAATCTTATATTTAGAATCAAAAAACTACTTTTATGTAAATCAAAATAGCACTCATTACATATACTTATTATTTTTAAAATCACGATTTTGTTTTCACTTAAATACCCTCAGATTGGCATAAATAATAGTGGAAGATTTTGTAAGTGACGGTAACAACTAAGTTGCTGGGCTTTCCATCTAATCTTAATTGTCCTCTCTAAACTTCCAAAAACACTTCCATCATGTTTTGTTTTTTTGAAAATGTTTTAAAACAACATGTTGTAAAAATGCCAACAAACGACTAGAGATTTCCTTTTGAATAATGACCGTCTGCTCCCATAGGCCTGGTAGGGTTAATGCGTGTAGCCTTAGCTTGTTAAGAGATTTTGGACTTTTGATGTCATAAGAACATAATTGGGCTTCATACCAGCAGATTGAGCCCACAAAGCTCAACCGCCACTCATCGCGCTCGCACAGTCCCACTGACTTTCTGACGCTAGTTTCCAAATAAGTAAATCCCCCAAAAGCCATTCCGTACAGTATGAGCTGAATCCCAGACCACCAACAAGGTTTGCAAAAGTTATTGAAGATATTGATTGAAGTACCTCTCAACAAGTCGTTGTAGTATAGTGGTGAGTATTCCCGCCTGTCACGCGGGCGACCCGGGTTCGATCCCCGGCAACGGCGCTGGACCCGTTTTTTCCAATAAATTTTGCGGTCGCCTTCCCATTTTGGAAGGCCGAACGCCACGTGGCCAAATAACACGTCTTTTGAACAGAGACGTGGCCAGATAATCATATCCATGGGATGTTACTCTGATTTAAAGTATTTTTCCTAATTTAACATTGTGCCGTAGATACTTCTAAACCAATTAACCAAATCCTATCGCAATCGCCACGTTATATGGTTGGCGAGAATGGGGCGAGGAGCAGATGCGATCGAACACAAGGCGTATGCAAGGGTGGGTCTGCTGGGAAATCCTAGTGATGTTTACTATGGTAACACCATCTCCTTCAGCATCGCCAATTTCTGGGCCTCCGTCAAGTTGCGGCCTTCCGATGAACTCGTCATCCTTCCTCATCCCACTCATGATCTCGTCCACTTCAGATCTATTGATCACTTGGTACTTGCATTTATTTTCATTTTCCTTTGCCGCCACCGATTTTTCCGCCATGCAATTCAGTCATTGAATTAACGACGTCACTGTTGATCTGTGTCTTGATTTCTACCTGAACATATTCTTCTTTTTACAACAGAAGGCGCAGTTTTGGTAATTGAGATCTCATTCATGAATTTAATATTAGAGTTATTGATAAATTATATCTTCTGTTGGGCTGATCAGTTACCAAGATACTTCATCGTTGGATGGGGGGAAAAGAATCTAAAGCAGTGAATGAGCGTGGTCAGATTCCAGTAGAATCTACAATTTTATTTCAGAATAGGGGAATTAAAAAGTCACATCGATATCGTTCCCCGTATTTCCTCCGGTTTCAAAACGGAGACAATTGACAAAGGGGCCGTTCCTATATAATGTAGTGTATTATTAAGGTCATTCTTTAAATATTTAAATGCATTGATAAGCTCCTCTCATGATCGACGAAAACCATGCAAGTTTATGGTTTGATTTGCTGTTACTATTTCTAACTTTTGAGACTTGTATAAATGATTTATTCTAATGGAAAATATCATGAACTGATGGGCATTCCAATACGCTATGCTTCCTTCTTTTTGTTCAGGTGAACAGGTTAGACAGTGAAGGCTTTTATGGAGGTGTACGATTGCTTATGGCAATTTGTAAAGTTTTCTACAAGTACTGTAAAAACAACAACATAGATCTTCATGTAGGAAATTTTACTTTGTCATATGACACTAATATCCCTCGCCAGGTAAAACTTTTAACCGATGGTACTAAAAGTTGCGTACTACATAATTAAGTACTTTATTTACTTTTACAACGTTCTCTCCTTATTTTATGATTGCTTATTTTTATCTATCCTCCCCAAATTCTCAGTTGAATGATATAAAATGGAAAATAATTAAACTGATAAATGATGTCTCAGAAATGCAAAAACTTACAGTAAAAAAGCCCACCTTTTGTCCCTTAAGTTTCGTCAAGTTCTGCTTTAGGCCCCGAGGGTCAGAAAGTCTATTTTGTCTTGCTTCGATATAGCCTTCTAAGTTAAAAAGAACAAAGCTAAAGATTTGATGGTGTTGCCTCCAAGAGAAGTGTCTGATGTGGTTCGCTGTGGTCTATGCATTTTTTGTGTACCATACAAGTAGATTTGGTTCTATTGTAGTCCCTATAGTTATTGCAGTTGTTCCGATGAGACTGCTCATTCTGCACATATAAGCATGCTATTGACATAAAACAACCAAGTTTGATGTTGTGTTTTATTTAAAGGGTTTGTCAGCTCTCTGTGTTTTGGTCTCGTGTTTCATTTGGATGGCGTATCAGCTCTCTGTGTTTTGGTCTCGTGTTTCATTTGGATGGCGTATCAGCTCTCTGTGTTTTGGTCTTTGTTTTGTGTTAATGCACGATCTAAATGGTAAAATGGAGTACAAAATATAGAATGCTGAGCCTACGCTTAAATTTTGAGGTAATAATGTCAGAACAATAATTTGAATACATTGGAACAGCTCAAACAAATGTAGGGGCTAAAACAGACGAAATGACTGTAGGGACTAAGATGAAAACACTAAACCGCTAAAGGGGTTACAATGCAACCAATCTAGTTCGTGTGGTACATATTATATGGAACGCATGAACCACATCAAACACTCACTGGTGGAATTAATAGTCTTAGGGATAACGTTATGTGAACCTACTTTGAAACTTTGGAGAATATTGAACTGAAATGAACTTTTGGGACTAAACTGAAACTCGAGTGAGGCTTCAGGGATAAAAAGTTTAGTGTCTGATACTTGAGAGGAGAAAAATTCAAATTTATTGTTCCGATTTCATGATTACTGCAAATTTCTTGGCCCCTGCCCCCTGATGACATCTTTGTCCTTCCAAGCTTTTATTACTGTTGGTCTTGTTATTACAGAAGTCTTTTTTATTGCCTTATTATTTTCCTGTTGATGAGTATAACTTAAGTCCTAGAATTGACATTTCAGGCGGGACTTTCAGGCTCTAGTGCAATTGTATGTGCTGCTCTAAACTGCTTACTTGATTTCTACAAAGTCAGGCATCTAATCAAGGTGGAGATGAGACCTAGCCTTATCCTCGCTGCAGAGAATGAGCTTGGAATAGTTGCTGGTCTCCAGGACCGGGTTGCACAAGTTTATGAGGGCCTAGTTTACATGGTGTGTTGTGTAATTTTGATGCAAAGCATTCATTTCATGTGAATGTCATGTACCCTATAAAATTGTGTGACTTTGTCTGTTTTTGTAGGACTTCAGCAAGGAAAACATGGATAATCTGGGGCATGGAATTTATATACCAATGGATATAAGTCTTCTCCCACCTTTGTATCTCATCTATGCTGAGAACCCTAGTGATTCAGGGAAGGTTAGCAGCTCAGAATTGCTTCATCCTTTTTAGTATTATATGTATTCTGCCCATCGTTGTAGAGCAATGTTGTTTCATCTTATCTGATTTAGGGCCTGATTTATGTTGACTCCCTATCAGAAGCGATCTTCCATATTTACCAAAGTTTTAGCCTACTATAACATGTAGGTTCACAGTAAAGTACGGCAGAGATGGCTTGAAGGCGATGAGTTCATCATATCTTCAATGCGGAAAGTCGCAAACATAGCAAGAGAAGGAAAAACAGCATTAGAAAATAAAGACTATTCTAAACTTGCGGCCCTCATGAATCAAAATTTTGACCTTCGAAGGTAATGGTTGTTTTGATGCCGTTCCATTTAAACGTTACTGTTGTCATCGTTTTCTGTCTCTTCATTATATGAATTTGGCATATCTACCTGACGTCGCTTCTCATTAATCAATGACTTCTATCCTGGAATATAGAGTTCGTGACGTATAAATCAAACGGCGTGAATCTTGTATTAGAACTTTTAAACTTACGAATGGTGTATACGCTAACAAATGAAAGGCATAGTATTATCTCACTTGATCTGTTAGATCCTGTTTGGTTTCTTTCTGGATCTCCCCTAGGCTTTTGACTCCTATTGTATTTCAACAAAAAAAAAAAGGCATAGTATTGAACTGTATTGCTGGATATTGCGCAGATCGATGTTTGGAGATGATGCCCTTGGTGATATGAATATAAAAATGGTGGAGGTTGCAAGAAAGGTTGGAGCTGCTTCCAAATTTACAGGTAGTGGGGGAGCTGTGGTTGCGTTTTGTCCCGATGGTGTTTCTCAAGCACAGCTGGAGGAAGAATGTGGAAAGGCCGGATTTATATTACAACCTGTACAGCTTGTCCCTTCTCGTCTTAATGAACTTGAAGATTATGCAGCTCGCAACAAAAATTGATTGTTTGGTTATGTGGCATTAAATCAGAATTTGGATGAAAATGACAAGGGTTGTCAGATTTCGCAGTTGTTTTATTGATTGTTTGATTATTGAATTAGCCAAGTCGAAGAAAACGGGTGTTACAATTTGCAAACAATGAAGAGTCATTTCATTACTAGCATGCTATCGGTCTCAGGGAAAAAAATAAATGTGGTAAATATCTATTTACTTCTAACGCATACCCTTTACTAGCATGCAGCATTTTTTAATTTTCCAATTTCTTTAATCCCGAAAAAGAATAATTTAACAAAAATCAATACTAGGGTCATGTGACGCTCAAAAGACTATAAATTGCACGATACCCCCATTTGCCGGGTAGAAGGGTTTCCTGACATGAATCCATGACATTAAAAAGTTGCAGCAATAATGCATTGCCAAATGACACGCTCATACAGAACCTCGTAAGAGGGCAAAATACAACACTGTTACAATCAAGTGAGTTATAGATTCCGCTGGGCAAAAAGAAATTTAATTCTAAAGATTAATAAACTACCTATTAAATGTACAATCACAATACTACAGAATCCATACATACTCGTGCTTCATTGAAAACGCTGGAGAGGTTGTCTTCCTACCCTCAAAGTGGTTGTCCTCCCACTTTAATTCATCAGATAGTCAGTGCTTCAGCCATTAGTGCTCTTAAATAAATCCAAATTACAATATTTACCAATTACCAATTTGCCATAAAGGTGAGCTTACAGAATATTCATCTCGGAGCATTCAAATTAACGAAAGCAAGGGCAATCCTCACAGAGGAAGACCATCCTCTCGATTTTCCATTCATTACCAAAAGAATAATGCACAGACGAAATCCCATCTAATCATCACATAGAAATCGCATAAGCTCGTTTGGTGAGGCCCAGATCGGAAGATCAAACAATGATTGATTCAGCTGTTGCTCTTGTTTATGGCACATTGCTTCTGCTACGTCACATAAATTTGAAACATCGTGAATAATTGCTTCCTGGGCTTCAACCTGTACCGTTCAAAGTTGAGGATTAAGGAACGAGAAGCGTTCTATAAGCTTTATGCAATTTAGAAGGCCATCAATACGCAGAGGTTGAGATTGATTCCAGGTTGTACGGCTAAAAGCCCAATCAAATACGGGTCACACCACGTGGTACCTAATAATCTGGCGCCTTGAGCGGGAACTTCTCAGTTTCTTAGATTAAGACGAATAAAAGTTATATAGCCATCTTGAGAAATAGCTCATTCCTACGATAGATTTAAAAACATGAAAAAGCCTGATCCTCTATTCTAGGAACTTGACAGTAGATCAAGCGGGGTTAAGATAATTGACCCAGTAAAAACTGCAGCACTGAGAGAATAGATCTTTAGAACAATTACACCTTCAGTTTCAGCATATGTTTCAAGGAATTAAGAAAATTTCATCAGCTAGAAACGCTTATTCTCTAGGCCTGTATGGGGAAGGCAAATGAAGAAGCCTTGTATCACATAAAAGAATTGATTAATTAACACTTCAAGGCCATATAATCCAGCAACTTCATAAGCTGTGGCATTGTATTTCATCAAACGAGAAGAGAAAACTATGAAACTAATCGAATCAATTATGAGATGTACCAAAGATAATCGCCTATAATGAGAATCTGGGATAGTCTAAAATTTATAGGTGCAAGCCTCGCGCAAGTTGGTAGCTGCTCTTACTGCACTGCAGCTAAAATAAGCAACTCAGCCAGAGGGTTCGAGAGAGAGTTTAGATGGCATGATGGCATGTATAATGAGCATCAGGGTTCCTCAAAGGTCAGGGAAATTAGTCAATCGTTGGCTAAATGAGAAGAACGGTCTTATGAGGATACAAAGAAATGGAGATGAATTTCGATTTCGAAAATATTCGAGCTGTTCTCCTCAGAAAAGGGTAAAAGAAACCAGGGGAGGATATTACAACTAACAAGGGACAATATGCAGAGCTTGAATGCAGCACCGGGTTGCCGAGAAACAAAATGAACACCGATTTCTGGGTTTTGAATTAGGCATTTAGGTTTTCAGTAAAAGAAAACATCAGTGCTCTACTCAGGCGCCGCTAGTCGATGTATTTCGTCTTTACACAACTCCTGGTACCCTAATTTCCAATTTACCTTCCGACATTCCGATTTACCTTCCGTCGGACACTTTTCAACAACCCAATAAGACTAAAATTATACAGAAGCAGTCAAAGAGAATCTAATTACCTGCAAAAGAAGCTCATCGACCAGCGATCCACCAACAGAAACCTTCCCCTCCGTCGTTGGTGAAGGGGAAGCAAGAGGCGCATTTTGCTCCCGCGCCTCTTCTTGTTCTTGCCGTACTCGACCGGCTCGCTCCTCCATTGCACGCAAGGTGCTCGACAAAAGATCCCACTGTTCGATCTCTCTCTGGTACTTATCTTTAAGCTTCAACAATGTCCGCCTCTTGCGCTCTCTCCGTTGCTGCAACGTTGCCAAGTGATCCCCATCCGGAGTGAATGAAACTTGAGCCGCCGCCGCCGCCGCGTCGTCAGGGTCGAGCCGTCGCTTCTTGCGCTTGTAGACGAAGCCATCGTCGTTGCAGAGCTCCCAGCCGTCGTCCTCCCCTGACGGCGTTGCCAAATCCATGATGGCGGTCGGCGGAGAATTAAGTAATGGGATTCAAAACCCAAAAGGTTTGGCGGCAGAGGAACGGAATGAGAAAGAGAAAATTCAAATCTGGGATTCTGGAGAGCGCGGGAGCGCTTTCGTTATCGTCGCTCGCTTTCGAATTTTAGTTCGGTGTCTCGTCTTGTGGACAGCGTAGAGTTCCTCTTGTTTTGACAAAGTTTATTTTTTTGCCAGCTTTTATCCTCACGGTCACGGCCTGATAAAATTTATTGATAAATAAAGAATAAATAATAATAAGTTTTATTCAGACTAGTTTCTTATTATTTTGATAATTAAATTTTTTTTTTTGGATCTCTTGGTAATTCTTCCAGTTTTTCTATGGATTACCTTGCACCAGCCTTATTTATTTCTGTTTCCTCCAACAGATTTCTTTATTTTCTAACGAAAGTACTTCTGTTATTCCCCCCGGAAAAAATTTTCTTTGCCAATATTAAAAAAATATTAATGTGACATTAATATACATAGTCAATAATTTCCTGAAATGTAATGAAATTGCGATTTATACTTTCAATTGAATTCAATATGCTGGCAAAAAAATTTAATTCAATATGAAAAATATACTATGATAAATACTAGGGTGTTTGAATTAGTTTTTAAAAGTAATTTTATGATATATGAGCTAAGTATATGAAATAAATATCTTTTTAAGTGTTTATAGTGTTTTCCATATGTGAGAGGTAGCCTAATAAATATTATGTTTAGATTTTTATTTTTTTAAAAATAAATCCCATCTATGTGAGTTGACCCGTTCTCTTTGGATTATCTGCAAATTAACAGTATGACTTTAAAATTCTCATGATATTTTTTAAGAGTATATAAAGATGATTATTTGAAATGAAAGTTTTCAGTTGTTGGATGGAGATCGAGATATGCTTGATGAATTTTTTTTGCCTGCAAAAGAAAAACTCGTGACATTACTCAAACAAAAATATGCCAGGTGATTTAAGGAGTATCTGGATATAAATCAAATTATGATTTTAAAAATATTTTTACAGTTTACGATTTATATTTGAGTATTTTCAAACACCCGAGTACCGTGTAAAAAATTACTCTTTCTTTGGCGAGGATAGTTCCAATAGTAATTTCCTTTAGTCCAGCGTATTAGTGGCCAGAAGGAAAAGAGGTTCAGCCTGCCCAGCGTTTCAGGGGAAAGAAAATTCAGCTGCACCAGAACAAGCAGTGAAGTGCCGCCTCCTAATCATCTCTGTTCACTGTTCCGTCGCTCATAGAAATTGAGCATCTGTACGTCAATCGGGCTCTTAAGCTAAACCATAGATGGCATCGTGACACAAGCGTTTTGACTGGTTAGCACTTAGAAGTTCAAAGTTCGGACCTTGCTGTACAGGATTTCGGAGTCTCAAGCATCGTTCTGAATCTCATGCATATAGCTAAACTGGGCACAACATCGTCAGTCTCGCTGACTGCTCTCTCTCCATGTCGAAATCATTATATCTAACTCATGTATCGTTCCTCTTATCTAATTCTAGAGTCATGGCCTCTGGCAGAGTTTTCTATCATGCGCTTCCATCTACAAAATTCACATCATTCAACAAAGCGGACACTATCTCTCTATCACGCTCCCTACGAACCTTCTCCACCACTCGAACCCCTTACCCACTTCAGTACGAGATGATTATCAGCCGTCCAGTCAATTCTGTGCATGCCCATTCTCGCCGTCGAGCTGTTCGACAAAATGACCCCAATGCAGAGGGCTTCCCTGACTCGGAGTCTCCGGAAGAGTCCGTTTCTCCCGCAGAGTCCGTCTCTGAATTGGGATTAGATAGCTGGGTTGATCGGAAATTGGCTTCTGAGGAAGAAGCTAACCAACCCGGTTCCCAAAAATCGGAGCTTGACAAGGCTAAGAAAAAATATTACAGAAAACGGAGGAAGAGGATGTATGGGTCGGACTCTGATGAAGCAAATAGACGACCTGAAGAGAAGTTCGTGGAACTGAAGCCTGAGGTGGTAGAGCTTCCTACATTGCACAAGAAGGAGGAGGAATTGTATTTCTACGATACGTTTTCTTACCCGTGGGAGAAGGAGAAGCACTATAAGATGGTCTATCAGTTGGAGAAGAAATATTTTCCTGATCAGTGTCTTGATAAGGCGTTCCTAGAACCGGGAGAAGCAAATGCAAACGTGAATGTAAATATCGATGCAAAGACTAAGAGCAAGGTGAGGGAAAAGAAGAAAGTCAGGAAAGATAGAAGGGAGAAAAAAGATGAGGTTGGTGATGAAAGAAATGATTCCAAGTTGATATTCTTCGGGGAGAAAAAAGAAGAAGAGGATAATAGAGGACAGGTTAAGGAAACAAGAGAAGATCTAACCGAAAAGAAAGTCGAAGAGTTCTTTAAATATTTGAAGAAAATTCCGAATAAGGATGTTGAAGTGGGTAATGCTGAGCCGTTTCTTGCGTCAAGGAATTCTGGTCTTCCTCCTAGATGGGATGGTCCTCATGGAACCGTTATTTTGGTGAATAAACCCAAAGGCAAGTTGACATGTAATTTTGTGTTTCTCTTTAGTACTTCACCAAGTATTGACATGTGATTTTGAGGAAGGGGGGAATAGGGGACGAATTAGCATGAGTTAAATTTAATGTTGCGCACTTGGTTAATCACTAAATTTAAAAGTAGCTGGGCTAATGGGCTTTGGATGCTAGTTTGGGAAATTTCACCTGCACTTCCGCTTTATGTTGGAGTCATTTCTATGCCTTCTGTTCATTTGACCTTCCTCTGCACACACCTGATGGAATTAGGCAGAATTGATGTCTTCTTTTCTTCGCCCTTGCGGGTGTTTTCTATGTTCACTTAGTACGATGGCACTGCAACTCTGGCCAAAGTTGTCCAATGCACGGGTGCATGTTCTTGACGTCATGTTCCATGTAATTTTGCGACATGTGAAAGTATTGATTTTTCATTTGTCAATAAAAGAACACTAATATGTAAAATCGCATGACAGGTTGGACTTCATTTACAGTTTGCGGAAAGCTGCGTCGCTTAGTCAAAGTGAAAAAGGTTCTCATTCCTAGGCGCATTTGTATTTAAATGCATTTGTTCTGTGTATATTTATCTGATCATTTTTCTGTATCTGTTCATGAGCACGGGAATCCATTTGCAGGTAGGTCATGCTGGAACTCTTGATCCAATGGCTACGGGTTTATTGATTGTTTGTGTTGGTAAAGCAACAAAATTGGTGGAGAGGTAATTCAAAAATAATTAGAATTATTTCCATTTGACTACCAACAACTGGTGCCAGTTTCATAAACTTGCAATTTCATCTTTCTGTTTAAATATTTTATATCTTCGTATTTCTTTTGAGTAACTTGGACTTTTCTACTACAGCTATCAAGGCATGATTAAGGGCTATAGTGGAGTTTTCCGACTAGGGGAGGCTACGTCAACATGGGATGCTGATTCACCGGTGGGTCAATGCTTTTCTCATGTTTGATCAATGAAGCTGACCGCGATGCATGATAAACAGAATTAAACATTGAAATACATATACATGTAGCTTTTTTGGTGATAAGTTGTCCGGTATTCGGAATTACAGACATTTCTTTTCAAGCTGGGTTAAGTCCTGATTTATGAGGCTAAAACTAAAAATATTGTTTAAGGGGTGCTGTGTCTTTTACCACTCAATTCAACTAATATTGATATTTGTATGTAAATTTTAAATATGTCTAGTTTTTTTCACTCATAGATGAACTTCATTTGTAGGTCATTCAGCGTGAGCCATGGGAGCACATCAAAGATGAGGAAATAAAGAGAACTGTAGCATCCTTTTGTGGGGAGATTTGGCAAGTTCCCCCAATGTTCTCTGCCATTAAGGTGAGCATTTTTACCATATTTAAGCAGAGACACTGAAACTGCTTCTTCTGCCTTTTATGTGATATGTTTCGCCACATATTTTTCATTCCCATTTTCCCCCTTGCCTTATGGAAATTAGTCGTAGCTTAGATTAAGGGGTTTCAGTCCATGTTAACTTCTTTAGTTGTTAATTGGTAAGAAACAAAATTGTTTTTGGCTTTCATCTAAAGGTATGTGTAAATGAAATCTACGGACGTGCCATTTATAAAAGTTAAAATTCCATAAATCAAACAGAACTCCTCTCATTTATTGAATTCATGATTTTAATTATAACTTGATATGAAAATTCATATTTAATTAGCTTCTGTGCGATATTAGAATTAATGTTAAGCTTTGTTTTTGAAGCAGTTCAACATTATGGAATTTTTACTCATTATTCCTTGGAGAAAACTTGAGTCTGTTATGTTAAATATCATGCGGGAAGTAGTTCAGTTGCTCACAAGTTCTGTTTGCTTTGTGGAAAGGTTGGAGGTGAGAAAATGTACGAAAAAGCAAGGAGAGGAGAAAGCATTGAACTTTCACCTAGACGAATATCAATTTTCCAGTTTGACATAGAGCGTAGTTTGGATGATAGGTATCTTTAAGTACTTGAAGAAGGATCTTGCCTTGATTCCAAGATTGTAAAGATATGAAGGATGTTCTTTTGTCCATTTTGATAGTTGTCAAGTATTCTAGCAGAGAAGATATTTGTTTTTTAAGGGCATACTGTTTCCAAGAATTGTGCTCTAAACAACTTCGCTCAACCTTTGTACACAAACTTCATGATAACTCGGTAAAATCGCTAAGCAAACTAATAGCTCTGTAGTCGAAGGAAAAGCTTTTACTCCGAAGCATTTTACATCTGAAAAAATACATCTGTTTAATTATCTCTTCAGACTTTGATAAATTTTATTATTTAACTTGATTTATTTATGTTTTTGCAGGCAAAATTTGATTTTTAGGGTAACATGTTCCAAAGGAACATATATTCGGTCACTATGTGCAGATTTTGGGAAAGCTCTTGGCAGGTATCACGCAACAGGTTCTTCATAGAAATGGATAAATTGGGATCAAATGTCTCAAGTTCAATCTGTCGTAGCATAAAAGGATGAAAATGGAATGTGAAATTAGAGTCTTAATACTGTGCTTAGTCATGAATGTTTGTGAGAGTGGGGAGGGCGTTGGATTTTGTCCTCGCACTTTAGGATCTGTAAAATGAATACTAGTTGCAGGAAGATGAGAGAAGCTTTTACTGTTCAAAATTAGAGCTGAGTCTGACTATTTCTTATCTGTTCTATTTTATTTTCGCAGTTGTGCCCATTTAACTGCTCTCCGGAGAGATTCAATAGGTAAGTCCCTTTGTCCTTTGACTTTGAAGGAGATTGACGTAGCGTGGAAAGTTGCAAACTGTTATTAAATCAGAATGGTCGCTTTTCAGGAGAATATTCGGCAGACGATGCATGGGACTTTGCAGAGCTGGAAGAGGCTATTTCCAAAAGTTATTTCTAACTGCAGAATGTAAACCCACCATCAATCTGAAATCAGCTTCTTTTATTTGCTCTTTGCAGGTTACATATTTCTTTCATGCAAAGCATCTAACATTGAGGAAAATGTTCTGTAATATTCATTAATAAATTATTCAGTTCGTTGGAAGCAACAATCACAAATGGTTTTGAAGAGTTGTACTGTTTATCATCTGTGGCCCTCGGATTATTTTCTGGAAGTTTGTCAGCAGAGTTTGTACGCGCATGTGAGATATGGAGTCCCTGTGGAACAGAGGAGAGTTCAGGCTGTAATGTTGTTGTACTGGGTGGAAAAATGTGTGTCCAAATGACCTTTTAGGATTAAAATAAATGCTGGACCATGGGCTTTAAGCTTTTACGAATGGAAGAAATGCCCTCGTGAAAAATCTGAAGAAAATTGACAGATTCAAAGGGATAACTGTATGTTTTAGGGGAGGAAAAGGGCATCTGTTCATGCGCTAATCAACTTTTGGTTCTATGGTCAAGGAATAGTGAGAGAAGTTGAGTGCACGATATTTTTTTTCTTTCCCAACTAAAATATGATTGCACCTTAGTTGATTCCCCCCCCCCCCCCGGGGGAATTACATGTATTAATTCAAACCGATGATGGTGTTTTCTGAATATATAGCCATTATAAACACGTTCGAGTATATTATTTATATGACACTCTACAAGCGTCTCCCTTCAAAATTTGGGTACAAGTTTCAAGGGATGCGCGTAATTTGAAAGAATCATGACCGATGATGAATATAAAAGTGCTACCGCAACTTGGTCAAACAAAGAAGTGGAATATGAAAATGATAATCCTAAGTTTCCTGTGTTCCACTATCATCCAAAGTAGGTTATAGAAGAATTTGGGGGAGTAATTCCCATAGCTAGAAAATAAGCTCTCTCTGCCTGGGCCATTCGTTCTTGAAACATTGTCCATTCCTTGTAACATCTCTCTCTCACCTGGTATGACGCCAATTCTCACATCAATATTTTCGTCAGAGTGTCAATTCAGCATTTATTTTGAGAAGTTTCTGTTCCATATTTCACTTGAATATAGTAAATACTACTTCCGGCTCTAATTATAAGACCTTATTTATAATCTATAAATGATGTCTTATAATTAGGACTGGACATAGTAATAACTTGTTGAAAGACACATGCACAAGCTGAGGAAGAAACTCAAAGCTTACCCCTTGCCATGGTGCCTTCCCATCCTGTGCTTGCCCCTATTGAAACAAGAAAGCGGACTACCGATGAACTTAGTCCATCCAAAAGATTATTTTGTAAAACGATTTGAGAATGGTCACTTACCTGGTTCCCAAGTGAAGGAACGCCTTGATGGAGTATCCACTGGGCATCTACAATTCCTATTTTCTCATAAGCAGGCTGCTCCCAAGCAAGAAGTATCATATCAGAAAAACTGATTATGATCAAATAGTTATTTTAATGAAGAAACACAAAGTTACACTAACCTCCACACAGTTTCTGAGGGCAAAATCAAGACCCCACCCGTGAACAAGGTCATTCTACAACGCAAAAGGTCAGAAACTAATGTGTTATGAGCTGCTTATGAAGCGAAATTAGTAACAGAATGCATAAATAAAACCATATGGACCTGTATCATATGCCATACACAACGCCAAGCATCTCTGGAGAATACAGGGGCCATGATCTCAACAAATCTGAGCATTCCATAAACCAAAGTGAGATACGAGAAAGAGGAAAATCCTACAAAAGTACGCAGGAACATGGAAGAAAAGTGGTTAATCATGTTACATACGCGGCACATGGTGGCAGATGTAGATCAGCACACCAATCACTTTTCTCCTCAACCTCCCTGGAGGAGTTTCGCAAGACACAGACATGGTTTAAGCTACAAGCAGGAGGAGTGAAAAGAAATTAATTATAACATATCAGACAGTTGCTCTCTTACTTGTGAATTACAGTATCATCTTTTTTCTTAGTCATCTGCCAAGTGAAACCACTACGCGGATCCAGAGCAGGCTGTGAGATCTCCAAACCATACTCCCTTACCAAACGCAAGTACCTGTGATGAATAGATCAGAATAATTTTTTTTTTTTTAAAAAAAAAGGACAAGAAGGAGAAGAAGAATTCAACACTACTTTCACTCCCTCTCAAGCAGGTTGGTTTTGATACTTACTCCTCTGCATCAAAATGCTCCACACCCAGATCCTCATCCCAAACAAAGATGTAGTCATAGGGTGCCACAATGTCAGGATGTAGAAAGCGTTTGGCATACCACCTTCAATCAATTTAGAGTGTGTATGAGTCAAAATATTATGAATTGAGGGTTTAACTAAAACTTGCTGCAATTACAGAAGACAAACTAGGGAGAATTCCTTGACAACCATTTAGTTTGCTTCCGAACACTAACATGGATAGCCCGCTTTGACCACTCAAACTGATCCCATTCATTGACCCGACCATCGTAGTGAAACAAGACAATGGTGAAGTTCTCAGAGAACTGTGGTTTTCAAGTTCAATGGTCATAAAGAGAGCAAATATACATCAGAGGTAAAGGCAAACACAGACAATAAGAAGAAAAGGCAGTTCGGAAATTGGAATCACCTTTTTTATTGCCGCATCAATGTTGTTTTTCTGGTCGTAGCCAACAGTAAAAGTGATCAGATACTTCGGTTTCATGGGTAGGTCCTGTAAATTTCATCAGCAAAAGAAAAGGGATCGATTTAGAGAAGCGGAAATTTTTTAACTTTACCTTAAGGGAAACACCAGGAATTACATTTGTCCAGATTAGAATCAATTTATCGTGTATCTCGTGTCCTGATAAATTCCATACTCTGTTGCATATGTGTTAGCTAATTAATAGTTATTGGGGGGGGGGGGGATTCTTCAGTCACTTGGGCGTAAAATAATGCTTGGTAAGTTAGTATAGGTAGCTTTTCTTTGACGATTCCTTTTAAATTCCGTACGTAATGCTTTTTTATCAAATTGTTTTTCTTCAGTTATTATACCAATGAGGAATTATTTGCTAATTATTCTTGTAATCCTAAAAGAAGATAAATTAATAACCTTTTAAACGACCTTCATTCCAAGAAATGGAGCAGTTGCTGTTTCGGATAAGTTGTGATCCTTGGGCATCATATTAAGCACTAAACAGTTTACATTAGGGTGCAGTGGACACACACCTCATGAACCTGACCCCATAATCGACGAGCATAGTAATCTGACTCAGAATTGACTATACCAGGGGGTAGCCTTTCAGCCCCTTTAGGATTTGTTGGAACCCAAATCTGCATCGTAGGAAAGTGTGATCAGTCAGTTTGTAAGGTTGAAAAAAGGAGGTGAAGACGTACGTGTCACTGAATTATAAGGATCAAAGATTCATAACGTCACTATTGTTTGTCCACGTTGCCAAAATTTTATATTCATGAGTTGTGTGATGATACAGAATATGAACGCACCACTCAGTGACACAAGCAGAATTATGTAATGGATATCCTTAAATTAGTTCACTTCCATCTCTACCAAGGAGAGACAAACAAGTGGACTACTAGTAATATATAGATATAACATAGCAACCAATAATGTTATCAATGGCGCATGGGACAAATAGCGCGGCAGGCACAAAGAATGCCCCCCATCATTTTCTGCAATACTGGGCATTTGCTATTTCTAAAGAGGAAGAAATAAGAAATAAATTTCACTTGTATGAAGTCAGTAACTTATTTCTTCCTTTAAATAACTGCATATAGTGAGTAAATACTGCTGAGAGAATACAGATTACTCAGATACCGTATGACACCATTTACACGCAGGCAACTCTCAGAATAAAGTACTTCATAAGGTGCATATATATAACATAATTAATTAGTGAAAATAAAAGGAAAAAGACTAGGAAAAGAAAAGGATTGTACTTGAAACAAAAAAAAAAAAAGCAGGAGCCAAGAGGTAAGCCATGTCGCCTTTTGATTGCATGTAAAAAGGTTCTCACTATATGAAGATATTTTGGAAAATCCCATAAATTTTCTCTCTCTCTGACATCGACGCAACATATGGATAGCATAGTAACAAACAAAAGTCAAAAAGGCCTAGGCACTGCAGTCTGCATGCTAGTATAAAACAAATAAAAGTATAGCACTCAAACAACTTGGAAAAACAGCGGTGTAAGTAGAAGAAAAGAGAGAACAACAAGTTAGTGTGCAAATGAAATGAAAAGCAGATTGGCTGAGACGACAATTTAAAAACAATACGAAATAATGGAAGATGTCGTAGTTGTTAAGGTACGTTTCAGGCCTTTGTAGTTTTTGAAGTGTTGTTCCATAACACACACCCTAATTAAAACTTAAAAGAGAGAGCATATACGTAACAAGTCATTGGATTCATCATATGGTTTCTATATATGATTTGTGTAGATTATTGGGTTGGAATAAGTTATTTACCTCAAAATATAGACTATCTCTGGTCTTAATTATGAGAGTTAGTTGACTAATTTGAGAAAATTAAAAAAATAAATTAATTACTTATTTTTAATAAATATATGTTGTGTTTTCTAAAATATCCCTGTTAATCAAGTTTATTGGCTAGAACTAATATTATTAAAAAGACTACCTTGGAAAAAATGCACAAATATAGGAGACAAAGTGAATTAGAGTCTTATAATTAGGACCAAAATAAAAGTCAAACGAGGTCTTATATTAAGGACCGGAGGTAGTACTATAGCCACAAGCCACAAACACCCATGAGGCCGCTATTTCATTGATCGAAAGAGAACATTCAACTAGAGAAAAATACCTTTGTGTCATTCGATCTGGGAAGTCCATTAGACATCTTTCTGTTACCCCTAAATGAATCCCAGGCATCCCAAACTGGTCTGCTTTGAACATTCGAGTATTTATCTTCAATATATGTGAGATCAACGGATGGGAAAAGGCTGGATGGGAGATTCATCTGATCATAAAAACGGGGCAAAATCATCAGGATCAGTTGGGCTACTTCAAAATAGGATCAAAGTTAAATGTAATGATATTGTGAAAGATTTTACACCTTGCTTAATGAGAGCGTTGGAAACGATACTCCTAAGAAGAAACCAAAAACAACTCCAATAAAAACTCCTACAATGAGCCTCATTGTCTCAGTAGCATTTCGAAATTTTCCACTGCAAGACAAAATGATTTATATTAGATATGTTGAAGCAAATTTTCTTTATTGACCGGGGGAGTGGGAGAGCAACTTATGCCATGACTTTGTAAGTTTCACACCTGCGTATGGGAGTTCCCATTGGAGTCAATATCTGCTAACTTCGCAAGTGCAATGCCGGCCAATGAGATACCCACTCATTGACTTTGAGCAGTTTATATGCAGGAGCGACGTTGTTCCTTTAAAGCCAAGTTGATCTAGACGACAAAATCATCAACAATGAAAAGTAACAACTACTATCAATATATCCGCAAGCACCAGGGCTTAAATGTCCAGGTTTCACATTGCCAGTGAAATCCCTGTCCCTGCATATATGTAAGCAAAACTAACGACTTATTAGTTATGAGCTTGATCAACATCAGTTCCATATCCCTAACGCCTGGTTATTTTCTTTTGAAACCAAACAAAACTGGGATGAAGCGTGCAAGATTACCCTATCAAAGCATTAACCTGAATTTGCAGATCATGGACATAATCTGATCAAGCACTAGAATATAGAACAACAAAAGCCCTAAAACTATGTCTGGCCATGGATGTCAGTGTATATACACACACTAAAATCTAGTCAGTTCATTGTAATGCTTCAACGTAAGAAAGGACGTTACTTATACTAGAAATTAAACAGGGAAGCAAATAAGAGACAGAAAAATCCCGAGTTTTCAGTTAAAGAAAAAGCAAAGGATTTCTGCAAATAAAAACATGACGTGAAACAGAATTCCGTTAATGTTTATACGAAAAAGAAACAAACGGCATACCAGGATGAATTTCTAGGGAGTTGGACATGGTGGAGACAGCACCTATCGCCCAGCTAGTTAAATAAGAATTTATGACGATGACTGATACGGAAGGATCAAAACACGATGAATGGCGTAACAATGGGACTATAATAAATATTTAAAGAAGGGAGGGGTTTTGCAGTTAGCCATGGCGCTAGGATTGCGGGCAGAAAATAGAGAGAGGAAGAAGAAAGTACAGCGAGGAAGAAGAAGAATATGAACGCAATCGGGATATATATTCAGAAGTCTGTTACTGCTGTCTCATCAATTCGTTATTTGATGAGCTACGGAGTGGACGAAGCTCTTTCGGACGCGGCCGTCGTGACGTAGCTTCCATGAGCACGACTGCACGAGAACCAAATATATATATATGTGTGTGTGTATCTATGTATATGTGCCGCTCATATCACGATAACGGAAAATAAATTAGGAAAAAGGAATAAAATCTTAAATGGAATAGGACATACGGAGGTCTCGCCTGTTAAATTTCTTCCAAATTTATAATAACAGAATATTATTTTATGAGCTGCGGACTCATAAAATAAGAAGATGAGAATGAGATGATTCGCTGGTCAGAGAACAAATAAAGACAATATGATTCGCAATATTCAGAGATTAATTACTCCATATAAATTTTATTCTGCTTAGATATATGGATTGACCTTCCTTTTTAATGTTGGCAAATTGGCTTCAGTCTTCGGGTTTTGTTGTATATGGAATGATTTTCTTGGGGACCAAAAGTATCCCTGCCTAGAAATTTCTCTGAGATTCGTATAAAAAGCTGATAGCTACGCAGACTTTTCCCAACAAAATTTGCTTTTATATATACGTGCGCGTGAAATGATTTATCTTAGCAAAATAAATTAAACTATTTAATATATATAACATCTAATATTATTAAATTGAATTTGAGCATTATTATGCTTGAATAGTAGCAGCCGTCGTGCTCATCCATGATATTTTGATGTTATAACGTAAATAAAATATTTTATCTGTTTAAAACATGTCTATTTGAATAGAATCGATAATATGAGTTAAATCCATACTGTCAAAGCCAATCCGTCAATAAACAAATTTTTTAACCAACATTGTCAAGCCCGCATATTTTTAAAAATTTTAAATTATTATAATTATATTATTATATCTTATCTAAAAGATTAAAAATAACCTATATAATATATTTGGTGCTTTCAATCAAATATTTTAAAAAAAAACAAAAATCTCATTATATATTTTTTGATATTATATAAGAAAAAATATTAAAAAATAGAATTTTTTTTTAATAACTGTTAGCGGGTTGGCTAAACAAGTCTTTTAACCCAATTTATACAGGTTCAACCTGTCACAAGCTAGCTCATGGGATAATATCGTAACACTATTTATATAGTCAAATATAACCAATAGAGATTGAGTCTAGCGGAAGGAATTAATAATTCATAACGTGGTGAATTAAAGTTTGAATTCCAGCTGAGAGAGGTAGCTACATTTAATACCTGACAGTACCTCGAACATGATTACTTTTAGTAAGAAGATACTTATGTTTTAGTAAAAAAAAATATAGTCAAACGCATGAATAGCATAGCGAAGGCCCCATCCATAATAAGCACGGTAATATTTTAAAGTTGTGAACATTTTAAAGACCCAATAGGGGCACAAATGCGTGTACATATAAGCACCAAGATTAACGTGACTTGCGAACATGCACGACTCTTTGTCATATCGACGCTGCGTTAAAACTTTAAAGAGGAAGCACATCATGATGTGCACGTGTCAACTAACAGTATGCCCCGACCACCTGATGAGTGAACATGATCCCTCTTCACGTACCTTCCCCACGATATCGCCACGTGGACCTCATAAAATTTTTTAAACTTTTTTTTGCTTTTTTAATTTCCGCAAGCAGAGAGCTTTTCCAAGGCCAAAAAATCAGCGGGCTTCTCCATTGAAATTCTCATATGTTATTCCTATTTATATTAAATTTTATTTGCATTGCTGCCTTCGTTTTATTTATTTATTGAAGGAGTTTCAAAGTTTTGACACTGAATATCTTCCCGTCGTCTTTCTCAAGACGGGAGCTGCCAACAAAATAGGAAAGGTAATCTCAGTTCTTTTAATTCTAATCCTCATTCTAACTAAATAAATGGGATGATTCCGCAGCTTCTTAAGAAAATTCTATATAGAATTGTCGGCAGAATCGAACTCCGTCCTTTCATTTTTCTGGTAAACGATGTCGCTATCGGACATTGCCGTCAACATCTTGGAGAGCTCGAAGGTACTTGATCGTCTAAGGAAAGAGCAAGAGCAAGTGCTCGTGCAGATCAACAGGATGCACAAGAAGCTTAAAGCTAGTAAGTCTCTTCGTTCATGTCCCTTTTTTTTCCCCAAATAACTCTGGTCATCTGTTTTGATCCTGTTGTGACTTGAAAATATTCTATTCTCTTTTGGGCTATTCAATGCTGAAATAATTTGTTCCATTTTGTTACACTGATGCAATTTTAGTGGGCTTTCTAATAACTTTCTAAAGCATTTTCCGAAATTTATTTATTTATTTATTTTTTGGCTGAGCTCCGTTACTTTAATTTGATGATCGTTTAAAGAAACCAAGTGAGTCTCTCAGTTTGTGTCTTTGCTAATCCTCCATCTTGTTCCTGTTGTGACCTGAACTTATTGAAGCTGGTATTTTTTGTTCCATTTTTGTGACCCTAATGGATCTTAAGTGGGTTTTCATTTATTTATTTTTAATTAATCGCCAAAGCGTTGCTTATACTCTGTTTTGAGCTGAGCTTGGTTACGATTAGCTCAATTTGATGATTGTAATAAGCCTCTCGTGTTAGTTCTTTCACTAAACGCCCCCTTCATAAATATCTCATAAACTTCTGTTTCTGTATTTTTCCCCTCTTAAGGGGAAGCTATAGAGCCAATGATTAGCATCACAGAACAACCTGTGCATAGTGAATTAATAACATGATTTTCACTGGGCATCCCCACAATAATATTGCACCAACTGAAGCTGATGCTGACACATCTTTGTGGCTATAGGCTATCTCATTAATATACTTATTTTGAAGAAAACCATAAGATGACATAAAATCATACGCTGCCTTGTAAAACAAATGGGATGCCTTAGGTGTTATAAAAATTGTATCCTTGCTACTCGCTAGCCTATTCATGGTCCAAATGCCATGAGCTTAAGAGCATTTCCTATTATTTACCATGAGCTGTAGCTTCTTCATGCTGCAACTAGCACCTACGTCTGTGTAATTGGGACACCTGATAATATTATTCTTATAGCGTCCAGCTTTGTCTCCGTTGCTCATTGTTGATGGTTAATCATGTTAATGTAGCTCCTGAGATGGTTGAGAAGCCAGGGGATACCTCATTATCAGAGCTAAAGACATTGTACATTCGAGCAAAAGAGCTATCAGAGAATGAAGAAAAGTACGCCCATTGTGTATCTCAAGCTCTTGAAGTGAACTCCATTTTACCTTCTATTCCTTTGCCGCTGCAATGTCTGAAAATCATGAAGACTTCCTTTTCTTCTCTACAGCTAAAGATTAGAGTAACTTGATTTTACTTTATTCAGGCTGGGCTTTCTAAATTATGTCTTCCTTTCAATATTGTATGTGGTTGCAGTATTTCCACATCATTGTCAGACAAACTTGATGCTCTTCTGTCCTCTGAATCATCAGGACAACCACGAAAGAGAATAGGTTGGTTTGTTACTATTAAATATGTGACAATTTTCTTTAAGTCTTTTGAAAGCTTTTATTATTATTTCCTTATTCATATTATTACAAGAGGCTTGGTTGATTGAAAAAAGTACAAGAGAAAAAAGACAAGAAGCAGCTAGAAGAACCATCTATGTGAAAGAGAGAAAAGGGGAGGAAGCATATGTGCCTGAGCATAGGCCCGGGGGGGGGGGATTCTGAGATGATTTCTCGTTGATTCAGTGGATGACACTTCAGCTGAGTGTGTAATCTTAAGTAAATGTACTTTGACAATTTACTGATCCTTTCCTGTTAGCTGTATTCTTCTCTAACTTTTATGGTGGAAGGATAATGGAATCCACTATTGAGTATAGCGGCAGAACTCATAAATTGTGAGTGCTGATTAAGAAAAATTATGGATCCTTAACAGTACCACTCTTGCATTCAGTTGTTGACCGTACTAATTGTTGGAGATGAACGCTGTCCCAACAATGTGGTATTGGCTTCTTACAAAATTCAGTCAACAGTATGATAGCTATGAAATTGCAAACATTTGAATTAAAATGCTTGCTGATTAGGGAAAATGATTAAAAGCTGTTTAGTTTTTAGCTTAAGTTAAGCATAAATTGCAATTTGTTTTCAACAGGAGGCTGGTTTTCTACATCATTTAGCTGATGCTACTTGTTTTGCAGAGGGTAATGAGCTGAAAAAGAAACGAATGAAAACACACTCAGATATCTCAAGATTATCTCTTAGTAGGCGGCTTGAGATTTCTCTTAGTCTTAAGGGTGAACAGGTATGCATTTTCTTGGACTTCGATCAATATCAATTTTTAATAAGTCATTGTCATTTTTTTCCTTACGAGGCTTTTGGATTTCTATTTTATAACTTTGTTATCAGGTAGCAGCTAGGGTCACACCGCATAATTCTGATAAGGACGAATGGTTTGTTGTAAAAGTGATTCATTTCAATAAGGAAACAAGAGAGTAAGCCTATTTCTTATAATTATATATGGTCATGTGTCAGTTTCTATAGGTGGCAAATAAAGTTGTGAATTTCCGTTATCACTGCTTTAGGTGTTTGATGCCAATAATTGCTGATGTTCCTTGTGCCCCCTCAGTCCCTAGTCCTTTTCCAGTTTCAACAATCTTTATCTTAAATTAATTAGAAGTCCTGAGTTGGGATTTCTTTGTAAGTTTCTTATATATATACACATATATATATTATATCAGCCCTGCATATACATTTTAAACTATCTTTGCTGTGCTACAATTTTACAGATTTGAAGTACTAGATGAGGAACCTGGTGATGATGAAGAGGGTATTGGCCAAAGGTAAACCAGTTAAATAATTTACTTTATTTGATGGTCTTTGCGGATCTTTTGGTAGGGGCTGAAGGCGGGGAGACAATCCTGGATTTTAGACCCCTGCCTTGCAGTTCGTTTGTTCTTTTTGTCCTTTTTTTTGTCTTTTGTGTATGTGCGCTTTGGGGGTGGGGGGTGGTGTTGGGGGCTTTGAGGGCTGAAAACTGCTCTGTTGCCACTTGCCAGTTAGGCCTGTTTACATAGTAGCTTTTATTGGTGATAGCAGAATTTTTTTGGATTGGTAGTTTGATCTTTCAGTATAGCTTGTCTCGGACATGTATTTGCATATTTCTTTGTATCAATATGTTTCATTATTTTGAGTTTCATATTTACCTTATTGACCAAATTTAGGATTCCTGCATTTAACGGTGTATTTATAATTGTTTATTGTTTTTACTGCTTTCAGACGATACAAACTTCCAATGTCGAGTATCATTCCTTTCCCCAGGAGGAATGATGCTTCTAGTGCCCCAGATTTCCCTCATGGGACGCATGTTTTGGCAGTCTATCCTGGCACTACCGCCCTTTATAAAGCCACAGTGGTCAATGGCCATCGGAAGGTGATAATTCAATGACCCCATTAATTTACTGGAGTTATAACTTGATTCTAATTCTAGTTTTAAGGCCAACATTTTACGGTCTATTTATCTTCTTTATCTAGATGTTTGGTAATTTTGACGTGGAACTGACTCTAGTGACCTTGTTCTTGTAACTGGGGCGACCTTTCCCAAATTTGCAGAGGAAGACAGATGAGTAAGTGTCAATCGGATGAACTGTTTTCTGAAGTTTGTCCTAATTTTAGTGTGATGGCAGCTGACTTTGTGAGGCAATTGGTGCAGTTATTTGCTGGAATTCGATGACGACGAAGAAGATGGAGCTTTACCGCAAAGAACAGTGCCCTTCCACAAAGTGGTTCCTTTGCCACAAGGACATCGTCAATGAAACAAAATACTTGTAGCTGTGTATAGAAGAAAGGGATGTGGCCAATATATTGCATTAAGAGCTTGATGCCTGTCCAAATTCATATCACAGATTCTCCCACGTGTAGAGTTCCTCGAATTTGTTCCTTACATCCAGGGTGACAGGGAGCAAATCTACGCATAAAGTACCCGATAGCCGGTAATAAAATAGGAATAAGGTATCGATACACCGCACGCATGTGAAGGGAACAATGGTTTCTATTCTGAGATGAAATATTATATATATATTGTTTGTGTATAAGGAAAAACGTCCTTTTAATTGATGAATCGGAGGGGCTGTAAGATCACTATTTTACAAGTGAATCCTGATTTAATTCAATCAATCGTATACTGAGAGTATTTTAAGGCACATGTGCAAAAATGGAAGTAGTGAAAAGAGAGAGAGGAGGACCTCAGATATGTCATATGACGATTTATCTTGGATGCATAATGCAATCCACATTTTCATTTTTGTTTCGTTTACTGAATATTTCATTCACTTTGGATAAGAATTGGCTGTCGTTCTGGATTGTGAGGTGAGGGCTCGTGCTTACTCCAGCGATGTAATTTCATGCGAAAAGGATAATGGAATTTGCTTTGCCCAGGAAAAAAAGGATCGGTATTGTGTGCAGCAGGGCTTTTTATTTTGTAGAGCCATGTGCTGCCTTTCCTCCCCCCTGCCAACAGGGAAAGACCCCTCTTCACTGAAAACGTTGAATGCTCCTCGGTTCTTTTTTCTTCCCAGTAAAGATTGATCTAATTGGTAAGAAGTTTGTTCATAGTTTAAAGTTATAAGTTTAAATCGCTCTGTCAATGTAAGAGTCTCGTTGAAAGGCAATCTGCAAGTATTTTTGCAAGTGTTTTTTAGGTTTAAAGGCATGTCTTAGTAAACTCTTGAAATTTAACTAATCTAAATTTTTACTACAAAAACTTTTGAGGAGTTCAAATCCGCACCCAAGTTTTCTGCAAAAGTAAAGAAAAACGAGAAGTCACTGAGCCAAGCTCAGATATCAGACAGAATATGATTAAGTAGTAACAGTCATCAGGGGATGAAATAATCGCCCCGGCGCCAGCGACAGCAGCAAAACTGTGAGGCCACGTCGACGTATTAAGGTTGATCCAGTAAGGGTTGCCACCTGTATTAACCGACTACTCTTTTTTTGTTTTTGGTGATTAATCGATTTCTACCAACTCAGCGGAATGGGTTTTTTTTAAATTTAAAAGCCCGTCGTCAGTTTCTTCAGCAGGCCATAGTTATTTCAACTTCCATGCAGCAATTATATTTTTTTGGTTTCTTCATAAATAGATACTCCTATTTTGCATTCATATCAACTAAATGCGCGCAATGTATAAATACAACACAAAACCAGTGCAAGTTTTTAAGGCATTAATGGCATAGCTGAATAGTAATAATAATGAAGCTAAAGAAATTTCTATGCCATAATAAATAATGACTGGATTTGATCATATTGAACTCATGCATAGTCCTATAAAAACGAAGTTGCATGGTTGAACTTGTTGCATCATTTGAAGAAAACGAGAGACATGGGTCCATCTATGAAACCTCTAGTTTTGTGGCTAACCATAGTTGCTGCAATAATGTTTAAAGGTGGCGAGACAGGTCTTCTCCCTTCCAAAACAACTGTACAAATTGTCAATACCTTGGCTCACCATGAGGACGTGACTCTTCACTGCAAAGACAAGAACCACGATCTTGGAGAGCGAGTTCTGAAATTTAGAGAAATGTTTGAATTCTCTTTCAAGCCAAATCCATTCTTGAAGGTGACTCTGTATTTTTGTAGATTTTGGTGGCCAATATTATCAGAAGCTCATTACTTTGAAATATACGTTCAAGAACGAGACGAGTGGCAGGTGTGTAATTGGCACGTAAATTATTATGGTCCTTGTTTATCTGGTGTTTGTTGCCCTTGGGGCTATAAATATGAACCACCATCATCAGCAGATGCCCATGCTCCTCTTGCTCCTGCTGCTGCATCAAATGCCAGTATTACTCATCAATCTCATTCATAATTGCTGCTATCACATTGTAATCACTGATAAGCTTCGTTGTAGTGATGTGAAGATGATACATCTATATATATATATATATATTTGAATCGTTTGACCCCGGTTCTGGATGCTATAAATGATAGTCTAATTACAAACATGTACTTACCATAATGAATATTAATGACATGAATGTGGTATGACATTAATTTGCAGTGCATGAAAAAGAACAACAATGCCTCTATCAATGGGGCGTGGCTTCTCTCCGCTGCTCTTTCGGTCCGTTGCCTATCCTTTGCCTGAGACGATGTCGTTTTGGCCTCTCCATAATGACGCCTCAGCATAATCCAATTCCATGTCAGCACCATTGTATTGATCCCAAAAGCAATGAGTAGGCAACAGGAGCAAAGCGTCTGCCATTTTTCTCAGCAACCCCAAACGCTCAAGGCACTGCTTCTTCATCCATTAAGAATATACTTTGCTCCTCCGCCATTTTCTGTGTCACCGATATATATGCACTTGCATGATTATTGAACATTAAACGGGGGAGAGAGATGGCAAGAGGAAATAGGGGGAGAGAGATAAAATAACAAGTTTACCTTTTCGTTTCTACCCATAGACAACGAGGCAACGTACTGAGGACACTGAGTGTCCAACTCTCTTTTGTAACCTTAATTTTCTTTGTCGATTCACACTTGAAAGCACCAAAGGTTGAAGCTTCATGGATTGTGGCAGTGGCAATGGAGGTCATTCTGTGGTTTTGTCCGACAAGGAGGTGTTGTTGGCTGCGAGTCACCTGAAGAAACGCAGGGAAGGAAGAGGAAGACGTTTTGGGAGGGCGGTCAGTGAAGAGAGCGAGCAGGGTTCATGGAATCGGAGAGCGGCAAATTGAGGCTGGAAAATGTACAGATGACGACCAAAACAGCTGTGGCGGTGACGGAGGAGCGAAGTGTTTTCTTAATGGATGACAAAGGAGCGCCTGGTCAGCTGGAGTCCGATGGTGCTGACATGGAATTGGATTATGCTGAGGCGTCTTTATGGAATGTGCAGAGGCGAAAACGATGTCGTCTTAGACAAAGGACGGACAACGCAGAGTAGCCGCGCCCTAATGAATGTACATATACGTTTGACTAGTACTTTTGTACATTTTTTATTTTTTATAAAATAAGTGATTAATTCATTTATTTAATAAATTTCAGTTATATATAATTTATTTAATTTTTATCATAAGACACTTTTAACCTTCTCATCAAAATATAAAAAAATTTATTAAGTTACAAACTTTATCTGAAAATTGAATAATTTTTCAAATTTGCCAATACTTAGGTATAAAATTTTCACACACATATATATATTTGTATTTTTTCAGTTCTGATTTTATTTCGAATTTATCGTTACTTTAAGATTTTATTGGATATTTAATTAATGATAAAAAATAATAAAAATGATGGCTGGCAGAATCCCAGTACTCATTTAAAAATAACATTTTAATATAACAAACACCGTCACATTATTCTAATTTAAATTATTTTATAACTTTCCTTATTTGTGTGCATAATCTTAATTGCATATCTAAACATTAATACTGATAAGTTAAAGACTTTCCATTCTGGTGGCCAAAAAATAATAATACTCCTCCGGTCCTTAATATAAGACCCATTTAACTAATTTGATTAGATTAAGGAAGTTAGGTAAGTTAGTTAAGTATAATAAAAGTGACACATTTTTCCTAAAACACCATAATCATCTTTCTTAATATCCCCTCTCCCTCTTCTATTTGATCATGGTTGAGGGAGTATTCATAGGGGTAATTTAGAGAAAATTGATAAATATAGGAAATGGGTCTTATATTTAGGACCAAAACCAACTCAAGAATTGGGTCCTATATTAAGGACCGGAGGAGTAATAAACACCACCCTTCCCCTGTATAATTACTTCCGAATTCCCACAATTGTGGCTAGGCATATTTTTTTAAATACAGTTACTCATCTAATACATAAAATTTACCTGGTGAGAAATAGAGATAACAGAAATCTAAAAGCATAAATAGATAGCAGATCCAATTAATCTGCACCAATTTTAATTTGAGGTCTGAAAGTAGTCAATGCAAAATCCAAAGCATTAATGGCAAATACAAATATATATTAATGCTAATAAATATAAAGTTTTCTTTTCATTAATGTGGTAATCATGATTACCGCCAAGTAATAAAAATATTAATAAGACCACCTCAAAATGTCATTAAATCAGTCAAAAAGTCACATATAAAAAGGGATCTGTGTGGTGAGAACTTATTGCATTATCACTTGAATAAAACAAAAGAAGACATCATGGCTCCATGTTTGAATCGTCTGTTTTTGCTCCTAGCCATAGTTGCTGCGATGTGTAAAGGTGGGAAGTCAGGTTTTTTCCCTTCAAAAACAACAGTACAGATCATCAATGGCTTGCCAAAGCATCAGGACTTGACGGTTCATTGCAAAGACAAGCATCATGATCTGGGAGAACACACTCTGAAATTCGGAGAAACCTATGAATTCAAATTCAAGCCACCTCCGATGATAAATGTAACTCTTTATTTCTGTAGTTTTTGGTGGCCATCAATCTCATACGCCCGTTACTTCGACATATACAAACAAGAGAGGGACCAGTGTAGTGTGTGTACTTGGAAGGTAGTTGAGTATGGCCCTTGCTTGTTTGGTGTTTGCTATCCCTGGAATCCTCCTCCTCAGCCACATCCAATGACACTTGCTTTTTCCGATGATGTTACATCAAATAATACCCACGTTGTTACGGGGTCTCATACTTGATTATGGAAATCATATCCTTCGGGTAATAAACCTTTAGCCCGATTATCTGTGACGGATGATGAAGTTATGATCTATATGTGTCAACTTTATTTTAGTTTTAGTTCTAATTAAGTGCGTCAAAATTAATGTGATGTGATTTATGCATGTAAGTAAATTATTGAAGGAAAAGAAAGTAAAATATGTCTTACCATTCGTTTGCTCTTTTGAAACGTAGTAATACGAGATTGAGACCTACGACCGATCTTGCACGCAGACACACTACCTCCGGTCCTTAATAAGTAAACTTTGTCTTTGTTTAGTATCTAAACAAGGACAGATTTTAATCTCTTTTCTTAATTTATTTAAATTAGTTAACTAGTTTTTATATTAAAAACCGGAGGTGTTATTTTAGAAGAGATTGATGGTCCTTATAAATTATTTGATAGTTATTGATTAAGTTTTTTTTTTAATATCACTCACTAACTATGATAGAAAATGTTATACATATCTAAAATTTATTTCATTTTTGAACAAAGTTAATTAGTTACTTAATCATTTCTTAATTTTGATGAAACGATTGAAAATGTTTTACAATAAAGGCGAGAGTGAGTATTTTCGATTTAATGCATTAATCAACAAATAGATACTACAAAATTTATTGTTGGCGAGTCAGCGCCAGACCAGTAGAGCTGCAGAGAATTCAAATTTTATCTAACAAATAAAAAATTCAGCGCATTAATTGCATGACGAACATTGATAATAGTAATAATTTTTTTGACCAGCATTACACTGTGGTAAGTTTCATATATTTAGAGGGTGTTTAGATAAAAACCAAACCATAATTTCAGAAATAATTTTACGGTCTACGAGGTAAATATGTAGAGGAGTTTATCTCAATTTACAAAAAAATACTTATGAGAAACACTTTTCAAGACATCCAAACACCCTCTTGACGGAAAAGGGCAAACAGTATCTGACTTGGATGAAATCACGGATTGATATAAGAAGGGGGCGATGGTAAGAACTTATTCCATCGTTTCTATAAAAAATAAATAAATAAATTACTTCAAAATAAAATGCTGCTGCAACGCGGAAATGTGGCGAGGCCGAGTTGTTTCCTGTACTCCCCCGAAAAACGACAATGACGATCCAGCATCTGTTAATTGTAAACTGTAATTACAAATAACAACATATTTTTATAAAAATTTCTTATGTGAGATTTTTTCAGTTTATTACTATTACTTTAAAATTTGAGTGAACGTGCTATCAAAAAAAAATTTGAGTGAACGCGTCACTTATTTGCACCAATTTTGAGGGCTGAAAGTCAATGCAGAATCCAAAGAATTAATGGCAAATCCAAATATTAATAGTACTAATAAATGTAAAAATTTTCTTTTCATTCATGCAAAATCATGATTACCACCAATATAATAAAATTATTGATAAGACCACCTCAAAATTAACTGATTCACAGCCATGTATAAAAATTAAAAAATGGATCTGTGTGGTGAGAACTTATTATCGCATCGTCACTTGAAGAAAACAAAACAAGACATGGCTCTATGTTTGAATCATCTGATTTTGCTCCTAGCCATAGTTGCTGCAATGTCCAAAGGTGGGAAGTCAGGTTTTTTTTTCCTTCCAAAACAACAGTGCAGATCATCAATACTTTGAAATGACAAGCACCATGATCTGGGAGAACACACGCTGAAATTCGGAGAAACCTATGAATTCAACTTCAAGCCAAATCCTATAATGAATGTAACTCTGTTTCTGTAGTTTTTGGTGGCATCCATTCCCACCTCGTTACTTTGATATATACAAACGAGAGAGAGACCAATGCAAAGTGTGTACTTGTAAGGTAACTGAGTATTGTCCTTGCTTGTTTGGTGCGTGCTATCCCTGGAATCCTCCTCAACCGCCACAGTCAATAGTCAACGCTCACTTCTTCTTTCCATGATGTCACATCATATTACTCATCATATACTACCTCCGGTCCTTAATATAAGACCCCGTTTGACTTTTTGTTTGGTCCTAATTATAAGACCCCAATCCATTTTGTCTCTCATATTTATGTATTTTTTTCCAAAATAGTCCTTCTAATAATGATAGTTTTAGCCAATACACTTAATTAGCAAGGATATTTTAGGAATGACAACACTTATTTATTACAAATAACTAATTTAACTTACTTCCTTAATCTCCTCAAATTAGTCAATTGGGTCTTATAATTAGGACCGGAGGTAGTATAATGTTACGGGATATTAATGATTTGTGACAGAACAGATGATGAAATTTATATCGACATGTGTCAACTTCGTCGAAATTAATGCGGCGCGAAGGGTATAAGCAAATTTTTTTAAAAAAAAAAATTTAAAGGAGTAAAACATGCTATGTGTTTTACCATTCGCTTGCTAGTAATCATTTTACTTGTTTTATTGAAATTATCTATTCGCAAAATACTTTTTTTTTTGGCAAGAAAAGTAATAAAAATACTGAATCATGAGACATTATTCTGATCTTGCACGTAGACATATTAGCTAAACAAGGACAAATCTAATCCCTTTTCAAACATATATTACGCAAACCCTTATTTTGAAAGATTGATAGTCTTTATTATTAGTCGGTATTAATTTCCAGTGTCGCCTTTATTTCGAGTTATTAACCACAAGAGAGAATGTGATACGAATTTGATTTTTTTTAATTTAAATATGAGTGAAGTAAGAAAATTGTTTTCTCTGGCAAAAAAAAAACTTATTTTATTTTTAAACAAAGTCGTAATGACTTAACAACTCATTCTTAATTATAGTGAGGTGATTTGAATTTAATCTATTAATTAACGCATACTCTTGTATACCACTCTACTCCTCAATATAAGTCATTTATAACATATAGCATATATATTGAAGAATAAATTAAACTAATGAGATTTTCCAATGTTATCCTTATGAAAGTTTTTTTTTTAATTTCTTCCTCTGCACTTACAAACCATTATCATATCTCTCTCTCCATTTTCAATGAAAGTTAAATAAGGGTAAAATTAAAAAAAAAAATTAAATACACTACAAGTGACTTATATTTAGGACCAAACTTTTTCTCCACAAGTGAGTTACAATATAGACAAAGAGCTGTAGAGATTAGAGAATTCAATTTTTATCAAGCAAATTAAAGAATTCAAAGCATTAATTGCATATAAAGAATATTAATAGTAGTAATAATTGCTTCGTGTAAATGTGATTCGTGAAATAACGGACAAACGCAAACAAAGTCTGACTTGGGTGATAGTCAAATAAGAGGGGGGTAAGATATACGGTATATGACTGCCAATTCTGGTGGCCTTCACTGGCTTCGCCTCAGCACTTCGACATATACCGAGAAGAACGAGACTATTGGTGCAAAGTCTGTGCTTGTGGCATTCATGATTCCTCCCCCTGCATTTCTGGTACTTCTATGTGCTATCCTTGGGGCTCTTGAATTGAAACTTCCTCTCTGCTATAAAATGTCTCGTTTCATCATCATCTTAATTAACGGCATGATAAAACTTCAAACACATATATAGTATTCCCTTATGTCTGAAATATCGGTGACTTTAAATCACCACAACAAACCTTTTTTAAAAAAAAAACAGTTAAGTTAGTTTTTTTAAAAAAAATTTTTACCCTTATTAAATGTGGTTTTGAAGGAGAGAAAAAAAAAAAGTAAAAAAAACATATTTAAATATCAATTATTGAGACAAAATTAACAAATAAACATTAATAGTAGTGAATTATATTACATAACAGAGAATTCTTTTAAAAGATAACTTATATATACTCGATTTGATCTTATTAGAGGGCACTTCTAACAACTTCATCAAAACGAAACAGAGATGCATGGTTAAATTATATTAACACCCCATTTAACGACTTTACGGTAAAAATCATACTCTGTGTTATTTCCAGAAAATGTCTTGCAACACATACTAGAGAGGATATTAATTAATTAACTAGACGATTTTTATTCTTGTCGCGGTGAGAAGACGAGAATGGGCGAGTCATGGTTGCTGCCTGCTGGCTTATCCTCGTATAGTCGTAGAGAATTCAATCTGTACATAACAAATAGTAATAAAAGAATTCAAAGCATTAATTGCATATAAAGAATATTAATGGCAGTAATACTAGTAATGGCTCTGTATAAATGTGATCAAATGAAACAATATCTGACTCGGATATGATAATATAAGAAACGGGAGGATGGTCATATGAGCTATGAACCTGTTGCGATCCTTCATTACGGTAATGAAGCCGCTACTACTAGTTCTGCTGATTACTATAATGGCTGGCGGCGCAACGTTAAAACCTGGGAAGGCGAGTTTGTTAATTCCTCCGAAAACGACGGTGACAGTGAAGAATCTGCTAAGTGACGGACAGTATCTGTCATTTCATTGCAGATCGAAGGAGGACGATCTCGGAGAGCAAAAGATCAAGCATGGAGAAACGTGGGGGTTCAGCTTCAGGCCAAGAGCTGTGTTCTACACAACACTGTATCACTGCCAGTTCTGGTGGCCATCGGTTTCTTCGCCCCAACACTTCGACATATACAGAGAAGAACGAGACCTGTGGTGCAAGGTCTGTAACTGGGGCATTTATGATTCGGGTCCTTGCATTTCTGATGGCACTCCTCTTTGCTGTGCTTGGGGTTCTTGATGCTTCCTCCACTAATATATATGAGTATCAAAATGTTAATTAACAACCTGATAAAACATGCTTCTTCCGATGTTATATGTAAGTTATAAATAACTGAATTACATAAAATGAGAAATTTGATACAATTAGTCAAAACAATAAATATGTAAAATATATACATATTTTTTAATTGTACCGCCATTTCCAAAAAAAGAGTAGATGAGAGATGATAAGCGAAAATTTATTAAGAAGAAATAATAAATGATGTATATTTAGTGGGAGTAAAAATAAAATAACTAGTTTAAAATTTTAGAGAAAAAAATTTATTTATTATATTTAAGAACATCATTAGTAGAAAGTTGTAACCTTTGCTTTTATATATAAAACCTGTCAATATATAAGCTTGTATATATATATTTGTGTGCGCGCGCGCGCGCGCATGCAGTATGTACGTGCGCAACCATTGAAAAGACGATTTTCATTTGTGTCACGCTCACGCTGCAGGGATGAGAGCCGGCGAGTCAATGTCAATAATTCCGCATTTAATTGGCAACTGTGCGAATTATGAGCTGAAGCCAACCTTGGCGTTGAGTTTTCAGTGTTGCGGAGGGCCGAGCATTTGGGTTTTTTAGTTTTTTTTTTGGTCAACTAGGCTTCTTTTTAATTAAATTAAATACTTATGTAACCCTATTTATAAATCTCTTCTAATATTTTCATATAAATTTAAAAATATTTTAAATTTTATTAATTTTTATTTAAAATTTAATAATTTTTTAATTTTATTCATATTTAGTATACGTTATACTCCATTAGCACAGAATCAATACAACATAAATTATACATTCGCATGAAAATTTTCTTTCTTTGCCTTATAAATAGAATCCAGAAATTGTTTCTCTCTCTAGTAATTAGTACTGAGATAATATACCAGAACAGTAAAAATGATTGTTAATTAATTAATCCTTTCTATGTCACGTAATCTTATACTCTTTTGTGTTATTTGTAAGGCAGAGACAAAGTATTTTATCATATTTATAAATCATATCATTATTTTTTTAATTTTTTAAGTAAATATTTAATTTTATCTTTTATTTATTATTGTGCAAACTTTGTGCACTTGGAATAAAATGCATATTAAATAGAGGTAAAGTTAAAAATTATATTAAATTTAAAATTTTTCTTAATCTCAATAAATATATTAAAAGTGACTCATGAATAGAATCAAAACAAATATGATCAGATGCATAATTTATTGTGATGTGGCATTCTATTTTATCCCAAATATGCGGTATTTGGTACTGCCTAGGCAACATGCATGCACTTACGTTAGGTCTTGAATGTAAGGATTAAGGAACATTCTCTAGTAAATACTGTGTCAAATTCTTAATATAAAAGTTAGCTAAGAATTAAATTTAATCTTAAATATAAAATTCTAATTAATTTTGTTTTTAAAATTTATAATTTTTTTTAAAATATCTATCAAGCAACAATTTGAATACGTGTTTCTAAATACCAGAGGTAGTACTACTTCTTCTCTTAAATATAAAATCTAATATCGTACAGAATTAGATTTTATATTTAAGGTTAGGACAATAGTGTGGTAGTTTTAAATTTAGATGAAGCATTTTTCATTTTTTGGGCCAACTGTGGCAGGTTGTTTTCTGCGGTCCCCTGGAAAACGACGGTGATAATCCAGAATCTGGAGGAATCAAATTATTTATATCTGCGTATAAAAAAATATTTATATGTATGTACGCAAATGTGTGCTTATATATTCAAAATAATTGTCTTTTTTTGAGTTTGATTTTGTTTCGAATATTTTTTTATTTTCAAATTTTAGTGAAACATTCATTATTCATAAAAAAAATTACTAAAGAATAACGACAGCTGGCACTGAGCAGAATCCAAGATCCAAATACTCATCTAGAAATAACTTTTTGATGCGAAAAAAAAATATCACATACCAAATATATTTTAATTTAAGCTATTTAATATCTTTCCTCATTTGTGTGCACTGTGCACAATCTTAATTGCATATCCCATTACTTAACTGCATATCTAAACATTAATAACAATAAAGCCTTTCCCTCGCCAGATTTCATGTGGCTATAACTAGGCTTATGTTTTGGACATACAATTAATATATTTTATATTCTTTTTTATTTTGCCGAAACCCTCGTTTTATCATATTCATCTTTTAAATTTATTGCACACATATTGAAAAATATAATAAATATTTAAAAATATGACATATTTTACCGAAGTTGCCACTCATACTTTACTAAGGGTGAAATGAAAAGACGCTATTAAATATTCCTCGGGAACTTTAAAAAGACAAGTAATGCTCCATGAAAGAAAAAAAATTTTAATGTCAAAATACAAATATACTAGAATCGACGGAGTAAATTAAAGAGAAATAAAGAGGACTGGCATCTAAATTAATAAAAGTGTAAATAATTATATCCAATTAGTTTCTAACAATGATCAGGAGGGTTGAGAGTCAATGAAAACTTTAAGGCATTAATGGCATATCCAAATATTAAAACTAATAGATATAAAGATTTATTTTAATGAATGTAATAATCATTCTTACCATTTAAAAATATGATTACATTGGACCATATCAAAATCAACTCATAATTCATCATATAAAAAGGAAGGGCTATGTGGTGAGAATTTATTGCATCACTCGAAAAAGATATGGCTCCATCATTGAAGCTTGTACTTCTGTTGATCGCCATGGTTGCTGCAATGTCCAGAGGCGGGAAGTCAGGTCTTCTTCCTCCAAAAACAACAGTGCAGATCGTCAATACCTTACCAAACCATCAGGACCTAACGCTTCACTGCAAAGACAAGAATCATGACCTGGGAGAACACACTCTCAAATTCAGAGAAACCTATGAATTCAAACTGAAGCCAAATCCCCTAATAAACGTGACTCTTTATTTCTGCAGCTTTTGGTGGCCATCGATCGGACCTGCTCGTTACTTTGACATATACAAACAAGACAGAGACAAATGTAAATTGTGTATTTGGACCGTCGTTGATTATGGTCCTTGCACTTCTGATGGCATTTGTTATCCCTGGAATCCCTCTCAACCACATTCAACAACACTCCCTTCTTCCCATGATGTTACTACATCACACAACAATACCCATACTGTTACTTAATGCAACAAAATCTATATATTATATGACAGGTCACTGGATTGATATCTATGTGTGTAACCTAAAGTATTTTTAAGTTATTTTGGATTTTAGACTAATTTTTTTTTAAGATTATGAGCGTTGAGGTTAAAGTCTTTCTAATAAGTATGTTTTTTAGAATTCAAACTCTTGTACATTACTCACCAACTACATATCTTCATTCCAATAAATTTTACCTTTCATTTATCAATTAACGGAGCAACTCATTTCAAATTTCTATGCAATGTTGTGTGGGCATGCTATTATATTTAAACTTCAACCGTGACGCCTTCGTTTTTACCGTTGTAGCTGCTTTTTTTCTTCTTTTTTTTTCAGACGCCGGGGTCATTAATTTTCATTTGTTATAGAGGTGAATACGAAATTCAATACGTTGCACTTCAAGTCCGAGCGATCGAATTTGCCTACATTTTTACTGTGACACCTCACACCTTCATTTTTACCGTTGAAGTTGATTTTATTTGGATTAATATAATTTTTTGTGTTTCAAGTTTGTTCTCATTTTAGTTTTGGTTTCTCAAGTTTTTTTCAGTTAAAATATTAGTATCTATAATTCAATAAAAATTTGGACTATTTTACTTTTTGAGTGATCAAAACTTATAATTTAAAACTCGAAGGATCAAAACTAAAATAAAAAATTATGTTAACTTTTTCTATTTTAAATGCTGGGCTTATTAATTTTCTTTTTCTTTTTAAAAGTGAATACGAAATTCAATATATTGTGTTCCAATTTGAAATTTGCCCACACACGACATGCACATGTGGACAAAGTGTGCGCATGGTGGATAATTCAATTATTGCATTCATTGATCCTGAATTCCTGGTATTGCTTTTTCGCCTTTTGTCCTCTTTCTTCATCCTTCTTTAGTTCTTTTCTGTTCGGTGGGCCCAGGGGGTGAAATGAAACTGATAAAACTGTAAGAACACGTTGCGTCGGAGGGAATGGATCTGAGTTGGACCTGTCGTGCTTGGGTCCCACACCTTTAGTTTATTCCTCATTGGTCTCATCTCATCATTTCACCCCCCGGCATGAAAACGAAGGCATTCTTCAGTCTTCATAACGGATTGTCAAATATCAATGTCCATATATACATCCACATATATATACATATATATATATATACACACACAAGTATAATTTAAATTTGCAGGTATGGTGTAATTTATTCGGATTAAAAAAACTAACTAATGAGAAGCAATGGTCTGAACCCCAATCCCTTCCGATCAAAGATAAGTAATTACTATATCAATAATGGCTCTTATTCTCTAGCAAAAAATATTGTTTTCCGTCCTTTACCCTACCGTTCTTTTTTTCTTTTTTTGGACTGAATTTTACACTGCCAATCTGCCATGACGTACGGAACGATGATTGGCCTAGTTTCAGAGACAACATAACCCCTACAATTCGCTAGTATTTACTATTTATGCCATCACAGCTCTTTCAAAAAGACAATAATGCTGGTGGCAACAAAAAGGGACAATAATAGTTTTTATGGCATAAATTAATAAAATGAATGTTATTATTATTTTTTTTGTCCGAAAAAATGAATGTTATTATTCGAAGTAATTAAGTTTATTCTTTGAGTAATTAACTTTCTGTTAATGCCAAATTTTCTCCCCAAAATAAATTAAAAACCGACAAAACACATAAGCATCATGAGCAACGGATCCATTTTGCTTCGTCGACAAACGAGCATTCCACACTCCATCGGACGCTGTCCACCGTTGTCAGCCCTGCGCGGTTGTTCTAGGGCTGGTAGTGAAGAAGGTTCGAAACGTAGGGCTTTTTCTACTCCCAAAATCCGGTGACATTGATTCCGGCTTTTGAATCTAGATTTGAGTCGTCTTTCCTGCGTGCTTGTTCTTGCTTTGTTTTAAATTTTTCGAATATTTACAGATTGAGATTTTTGTTTTAAACTAGTTTTTGCTTGAATGGTGTGTGATTGGCTATTATACTTCTTCCCTCTTCTTTCTCATTGCTAGCGACTTGTGTGCCTTGGATTGTGCTGTTTTGCAAGGTGGGATTTATTGTGCACTGGCACACTATTTATTAATCTTATCGTCAATTTAGAAAATTATCAAGGTATCTGTGATGCACGATCTTGTAAATGACTGAGCTCGAGCTGTGTCAAAGCATCTGGAACAAGAACTAAAGGGTATTATATCAACTATGCATATTTCAAAGATTCCATTGTGTGTAATAGTGGTCCGCCTATGGCCCCAGCAGCTCCTATTTTTTAACCTATACTCTTTTGAACTGAAAACAAGTGTGTTATACAAAAGAGGCATGTAGAAAGATGATGTTGTTGTCGCTACATTTAGTTTAGGTGAGCTTTTGTCTCGATATCATTAAAATTGGATGAGTTTTTATTTGTTGGGTAAAGATTTTTGACTTTATAACGATAAAAACATCTTATTATGTACTTTATGAGTTATCTGGTTCAAAACAAATTGTTGTGTCGACTGGGACATGATCCTTTGTGTGCCACGATTTCCAATTTTTTGAACTCATTTTGAAGTCGTCTAGTTAACTGTTTTTTTTTTTTTCCCGTATGGAATGAATTCAGTAGAAAAGCTTGTAAGCTGAATATCTTGTGGTTTCTTCATGATATTTAGGGAATTGCAGACAAGTCATTGGCAATTCTTATTCTTGAGTAATTTTATGACATGTATGATGGAGCGTAGCATCGTGCAGATTTTGTATCTATTTTGTATCTTTCCTTTTCTGATTTACTGGGGAATACTGATCATATATGTAACTTTTTTTCAGTTCTGAAACAGTGTCTTTTCTTCAGCCACCTGATGAAGAATTGACTTCTTGATTCATAAGATTATTGCTATTATTCACTGAACATGGAGAAGGTATCATCTGACTGTCCGTACCCAGGATGCTTTTTTTGTGTCATGAAGGAAGGTAATCCCAGCAAGCGGAGGGCAGGTATACTAAAATTCTTTAGAGAACTTCCCTCACAAGATGATGATGGTCAGGTTCTTCCCATCAGTGGTCTCTGGAACACAGCAATGGCACATCCAAATGATCCTGAATTCATAGAGTTGGGAATATTTGAATGCATGGCAGCTTTGATATGGAAAGGACTGAAGAACCGGCGCTGGCTGTCTCATGACCAGAATATATACATTCCTTATTATGCTGCTCACATTATTGGTTCCTACACAATGAGTATGGAAGAATTTGCAGAAAGTGCTGTACATGCTGGGGTAATTCCTCCTTTAGTTGAACTTTTAAGAGGTAGATTAACTTGGGTTGAGCAGAGGGTAGCTGTTCGAGCTCTAGGGCACTTAGCTACATATGCTACCACTTTTCCTGCCGTATCAAGTCATGGTGAAATTCTTGAGCTCTCCATCCAATTAGCAATGAGTTCTCTTGAAATAGTGTATTCACATTTCTACCAATTTGTTGATAGAAGGCTAAGTTACCACTGTGATTTGCTCACCCGTGGCATGGGTGGTGTTGAAATGGAATCTAGGAAGGCTGAGGAATGGGCAAGTCAGTTGCAATGTTGGTCTCTTCAGCTTATTAATTGCTTTGCTTTTAAACCTGAATTTCTTCCCACCATATGTAAACCTGAATTTCTCATAAAACTACCTGGCATGTGGGGCGGACTTGTTAATGAAAATTCACCAGCTGGTATCGGTTTATTAAGAACAATTTGTCATCACAAGCTTGGCAGGGGACCTGTTGCCAACTGCCCAGGGATCATTGAAGCATTGTGTAATATTGCTCGGTCATCAGATGATTGGCAGTATATGGGTATTGATTGTCTTCTATGGCTGCTTCAAGATCCCACTACATGCCACAAGGTAAAAGCCTTCACATTTTTGCATAACCGCTTGGTTCTATTGTCTTCTATGGCTGCTTCATGATGTTGAAACACAAAATACTAATTATTTTGAAAAGAATGCCTGACTAGCTAATGAATCAATTTTGACTCTTATTTCTGGGGCATTTTAGTTTAGAAGAGAAACAAATAGAAAGGGTCAAGATGAGGACTCTGAGATTTTTCACTCTGCTTGTATTCTTATAGCTGTTTGCCAGTTTGCCTAGTAATTTCAACCTTAAATGTTGAAATGAAGCACTGGGAAGCGGGAAAATAATGAATGATCTTGCTTAATATTATATTACATATAAGTGTCATGAACGTCTAATGGTATTGCTCGAAGGCGTCAGTCTGTCAAGCCTGGGGTTGAGTGTCTCGCAATAGGAAGGCTCATGGTCTTTGTTACGCCAGCAATGAATTTTCCAAACTAGAAGTAACAAGATAATAAATTATCTTATCTTCAAAGGATCATTCAGTTCTATAATTTCTCTTTAATTGCCTTGTGCTTGTATTCTTCACAATATGACCACCCGCTCCAGAGGATCTAGGTTTCTATGTATAATTTGGTTATTGCCAATGCACCAGCCTGAAGCACTTAAGGCTTTGGTATGTGTTACATGCAGGTAATTGATAAAGTTGTACCTGTATTGGCAGACCTTGCAGAAATGACAACTCTGGGTGATCACAAGAAGCTTGGTGACTCCATTGTTAATGTTCTTCAGGATTGCTTGGAATCACAAGGGTCAGGAAGAAGCTCAGTTACTGGCCACACTAAAGAGCAAATTGAGGAACTACTAAATTCAAAACAGAGATTAAAATGGGAAAAAAGTATGCCCAAGGAAGATCTACATATTAAGCAGGCCGCAGCACTAGTGGTCAAGCTTGAAGGGAATTCTTTATTCTCATCAGGAAACATATCTGGAGCGGCATCGAAATACTCAGAAGCATTGTCATTGTGTCCAATGAGATCCAAAAAGGAGAGAGTTGTTTTATACAGTAATCGAGCTCAGTGTCATCTTTTGCTTCAGCAACCCTTGTCTGCCATAAGTGATGCTACCCGTGCACTTTGTCTCCATAATCCTGTCAATCGTCATGCCAAAAGCCTATGGAGACGAGCACAGGCTTATG